TTTATTTTATTTTTTTTTTTGCATTTATTTTAAGCGAACAGTTATTAAATATTTATAACATTTTATACTGTTTTTCTTATTTTTTTTAAAGAACGTATATACAATATATTATGAACATTCGTAAAGGAGCTGCTAATCAAACATTTAAATAATTAAGGTTATTAATTAATTATACATTTTGTGCATATTAATTGACATTTGTTTTCTTTTTAAATCAAGCATATATAGTATTTTGAGTATATGTTAGGAATATACTATGTCCGTACTGTTAGCTAATCGTTTAAGAAGTTCATGAATATATCGAAAAGACGCTCATTGAAGCGCCTTAGCCACTCTCATGCTGTCTCAATGGCCTTTGGCAGCGCATTGCTGACAAAGTCTTCGTCCAGGAGCTGAGTCGAGGCCACCTCGGTGCCATTGCCCTCCAGCTGGGGGCAGTGCTTCTGGTGGGTCTTGATGAGCACAGCGCGACTGATCTTATTATCGTCCAGCACCTTGTACGCTGTCTCGATGGTCTCCTTGGTGGGCTCGCGCTGGCGCGTCAATATCCAGACGATTTCTGCAATGGCAAATCAGATGATTGTAATTAACGTGTTCAGCAATGCGTCCCTCGTTGACCATTGGCCAGTTAATTATGCAGTTGCATTAACATAATTATGGCAAATGCAATAGCTGATTCGACTGTTTTGCATGCCAAATTAGCCAAGGCCAAGGCGGGACGTGCTGCGCCACATTTGGCCTAAGCTTATGGGCTTCCGCATACTTACTCAAATGGGCAAACGGAGTCAGACTGCTGCAGCTATAGACAACGGCATACGATTCATAATCGGTGCCCAGCACCTGATAGTTCGCCCTATTAGCTTGCTCTGGAATGTAGAGATACAAAAATAGCAGATATAGATACAAATATAGATAGATGCATAATTACTAGGAAATAGAGATATAGATATAGATGCAGATGCAGATACAGATACAGATACAGATACATATACAGATGCAGATGAAGATGCAGATACAGATACAGATACAGATACAGATACAGATACAGATACAGATACAGATACAGATACAGATACAGATACAGATACAGATACAGATACAGATACAGATACAGATACAGATACATATACAGATACAGATACAGATACAGATACAGATACAGATACAGATACAGATACAGATACAGATACAGATACGGATACAGATACAGATACAGATACAGATACAGATATA